TGCACGCCGCTTCATGAGGCGAGGCTTTTCGTCGAACTAGTCGCTTTGGCCGTCGTCTTCGTCGTCGGCGTCGTCGATGTCTGGGCGCGCGCTTGGGCGCCGCGCGGGGCAGTCAGTCTCGGGCGTACTTCCCGTCGCCAGACGCCCAAACGCAGGCGGAGACCAACGAGTTCACCGAGAAAAGCCCGACGCAGATCTCGGCGCCGCGCGCTGAGATCCGGCGAGTTCGCCTGCGGCCCGCGCCGCCTGGGCGCGCGCTCCCCCGGCGCCGCGCTGCCGCGAGCGCGCCCGGCGGGCAGGCGCTGGCGCCTGAGCGCCCCGGGCGGCCCGGGCGCCCCCTGGGGCCGGCGGCGGCGCCCGATCGAGCGCGCCCTGCGAAGCGAGCCCAGCGCCGCGGTCGCAAGCGACATGCGCGGCTTTCCCCATGGCGCTGCGCTCTTGCAGATCGATTGGGCTGCCGCGCATAGTCCGACGCTTCGCGACGCCCCCATGGCTGGCACGTCGGTCGCGGGCTGGGCAGCGGGCGTTCCGGCGGCAGGGGCGCCGGGCAAGCTACCTGGCGCCGGGGGCGCAGCCGCCCAGCAAAGCTCTCCGTCAACGCGGTTCTGCGCGCGCCCTTGCAGTCGGCGCCGCCGCCCTTGCATGTTCCACGCCCCCCCCCCGTCTTCTTCGGGTCAGAATTTCAGAGCGCGCCCCTTTTCGCTTCCTTGGGGGAGGGCGGCGCCCGCTCGCCCCCCCCCCCAGTCATTTGCCCCCGCGCCCGTCGCCTGCCCCCGACCGCGCGCGCCGCTGCTCGCCCGCCGCCCGGCCCTGCCCCTTCGAATTCCCACCCCCCCCGCTCCCCCATCGGGCGCGGGGGGGTGGGGCCCGCGGCCGCGGTGGCGACTTGCGCCGCGCGGGCCCCGGCCGGGCCCGAGACCCCAGGGCCGCCCGCGCCGCTTCGCACGCTGCCGCCGCGCGCCCCGCGCCCATGTTGGACCAGGAGCCAAGCTCGCGAGTGTCCTCGCGGCGCGAGAGGTTGAGTTCGCGCTCGCGCGGGCGTTTTCCGCGGGGTCAGAATCATTATAGCATGGCGCGGTCGCGCCCGCCGCAGCGGCACTCAGGCTAAGACATCGCAGCGAAGCGCTGGGCGGGCCACGTTCCAACGGCGGCAGATCGCGCGCTCGACGCGTCGGGAGCGGAAACCACTGGGCTTAGTCGGAGCGGTCAGGCGCGCGCTTCCGCGCGCCAGCATTATCCCTCGATGGCCCATCACAGAGCGCACAAGGGAAGCCCCCCGAGCAGGGCGACCCCGTGAAGGACAGCCGCGACGATTCAAATTATGAAGAGGACGGCGCGCCGTCTGACCCCGCAGATCCTGGGGCCCATCCTGAAGGGGCGTTGCATCCGAGGCGTGACCAATTGCTTGCGCTCGAACGCGCGCGTCGATCTGCATTGCTCGATATGCGCGCCGACGGTTGGCGCGCGTATTCATGTGTTCCTGCGCGCGTCACCCGCGCGCGGAAGTCTTCGGACCCCACGGGGCGTCGGCCCGGCGTGGGCCCGCGCGGCGGGCGTTTCGGGAAGCGGCCGAAGGGGCCGAGGGCGAGCCTCGCGCCGTCGCGGGCCAGGCGCGCGATCCCTGCGCGGCGAAGCGCGATTGTTGCCGCGCGTCGCGCTCTGCCCCCCTCTCCCCCGTCGAGGCCCGTCGCCCGCAAGAATGCAAGTCGCGCGCGCGATGGCTTGCGCGAGGCGCGCGTGCGCCTGGCCGACGCGATTGCGCCCCGCGGGCCGAGGAAGCTGGCGGGCGGCGCGGCGTTGATTTGCAGCTTGGGCGCGCTTGGCGGCGCAGGGCAAGCGCTCGCTCAAGGGGGGGGCCTCGCGCCGCCGCTGAATCTCAGCGATCCCCCTCCCCGAGCGAGGGGCGCGCCGCGGCTGCCGCTCCGGGGGAAAGTCGATGGGGCCGCCGCTGCGCGCGCCCAACTCGCGGTGGCGCGAATGCCGCTGTCCCCCGCGCTCAAGCGGCCAAAGGTCGCGCTGCGCTCGCGGGAGGGGCGCTCGACGTCGAGAGCTCTCCCCGCGCCCTCTGCCGGCTCCGGCGGCCGAGCCCGGCCGAGGCCGCCGGCCGCGGCCGGCGGCGGCGCCGCCCGTTTCCGCCGCCCCCTCCGTCAACGGAGACCCCGTCGCGGCCTCGGCCCACGCGGCCGCGGCCGCCGCCTGGGCCGCCGCCCGACCGGACGCTCGCAAAGGCAGCGGCGCGGAGGGCGCGGCGCGCAGCGGCGGCGGCGGCAGCCCCGCCGCCCGCGGCGGCGGCGGCGTCTGCGGCGGCGCCCCCGCGACGGAGCCAGAGCCCACAGCCCGCAGCGGCAGTGGCCGCTGCCCCGCCGCCTGCGGCGCCGGCGGCATTTGCGGCAGCAGGGGAAGCGGCGGCGCTGCCGCCATCGCCGCCTGGCGGCCCGCGGTCGCTCGGCTTTGCGCGGGTCGAGCAGCCGCCGCGCGTCGACGCCGAGAATGCCGCGGCGCGCGCGGGGGCGCGCTAGCGCGCGATTCGGTTCCATGCTGTTCGTGATTTCGAAGGAGCGCTTCTTTTTTTTCCACGCGCGGCAGGGGCGATCGCGCCGCAAACGTTGGAGTTCGCTTCTACGATTCATATTGGGGGCGGTTTCAGGAAGTCGGGGCCCGCCCAAGTAGTTTGAGGCGCGGAGCACGCAACCACGGCGCCCGCGAGGCCGCGGTCGCGGCTTCCCTCTCTTCGGACGAACGGCTGCCATTGTTCAGCGGATATTTTGCGGAGCTGCGACAACTGGGTCCGCACGCAGTCGCGATTAATGCGCATATTGGCTTTGCCATGCTCTTTCCCGACGGACCGTCGTTGTTTTCGCACGTGGCTGCATTTCGTATTTCGAGTGAGAATTTGAGAGCATGCGTTTCGCAGCTGATTCTGTAGAGAAAGAACATCGGCTACGAGCCCAAAGCACGGACACCTTGACATTGACATTGATCAAGAAAGGAGGATAGTGAACATAAATGAGTCCTTGTAGCCAATGAGTGCGGGAAGCCTGGTCAGCAGCATGCGCATCAAGAGTTGCACCGGCTTCTCCTTACAGACCCATTATTCGAAACATGTGTATCCCAAATTGGGGGCACATGTAATATTATACATTCGTGCGAACATGGAACAAACAGTCGACCATCGAACTCCCATCCTTTACCCTTGAAGCCAAAGGGGATCCTTCCACCACGTCCCCTTCCTCTTGTTGCCATCAATTTTGTTTTTTTTCCTCCTCCCTTCTCGTTTTCCCTCCTCCCATTAATGTTTCTGTTTCTACCATCCCTCCCCCAACTTCCCATCATGATCCCAATCAAGACCCCCAATCCTTCTCCCCCCCTTCGTTCCTTCTCTCACCCCTGAGGTGGCCACGAATCAAAGCAGAAGGTGGCACATGCCGCCAGCACGGGGCTGCCATGGGAGGGCCAGCTGATCACTCTTCTTTTTGTTCCCCACACCTTTCCCCAACGAGCCCGATGCCCCTCCCCACGTCTCCTACTCCCCCTTTTCCTCTCCCCGTCTTCCCCCGCATCTCCCCCCGACCTCCGAGCGAACCCGACGCACCCCAAGGGGCCACGGAGGCACAGGCGTGGACCCCCATCCCACAATGACCGACCTCGAACCATTCCGCGTCCAGGTCCCCCCCAGAAGGCCTAAAAGGCAGCAGAGTTCCGGAGAGCCTGGACCCTCTATAGCCTGCCCCAGCTTTGGGCAGGGCAACCGTGAGATCCGACGCTGCCAAAATAATGCGACATCGTCAAAAATCACCACCAGAGCCCCGGACCCCATTTTTCCGCGTCATTTTTCGAGCCGGACCGATCCGTGAGGCTCCCAGCCGGGGCCCGACATCGGGCGAAGACGCCCGCAGCGAAGCAGCTGCAGCGCCGCGCCAGGGTCCCAGGCGAGGCGGGGCACGGTGGTCCGACGGGGGAGGGGGGGCAGAGGAGCCCGAGCGCCTCGCCGCCTCCCGGCGCGGCGCCAATCGATCTGCCTCGGAGGACGCGAATACTTGGGGGGGCGGCCCGGCCACTGCGTGCGCCGCTCGTTTTCGTTGTTCCGTGGCTCGTGTTTCTCGGGTTCATTTGTTGTTTCGTGTGCTTCTGTTGTTCGTTTCTGTCGTAGTGGTTTCCGCATGTTGCTTCTCACTTCGGCGAGGACAGAGGATGAGGATAGCGACGACGACGACGACGAGGGGTATTCCGTGACATACCCCAGGGGGTGTTCCGTGACATGCCCCAGGGGGTATTCCGTGATTTGCCCGACGGGGTGCTCCGTGATCTGCCCCAGAGGGTGTGACATTCTTTCGTGACAAGGGGGGGGGGATCGGAGGAGGAGGACGAGGAGGAGGAGGAGGAGGAGGAGGAGGAGGAACGGAGAAGGAGGAGGACGAAGGATGAGGACAACGAGGACGGCGTCGACGACGACGACGACGACGACGACGACGACAAGGGGTATTCCGTGACATGCCCGAGGGGTATTCCGTGACATGCCCCTTGGTTTCCGCATTTTGTTTTTCATTTTGGGGAAAACGATGGGGGAGGAAGGAAACCAGAGATTCCGTGACATGTCTACCCTGGTTTTTCTTTGTTTTTGGCTTTCTCGCAAGAAGTTATTGTTTCAGCTTGTTGTTGGCTTCCGCGTCTCAATGTTATGATTTGTTATGTTGGTGTCCAAACTTTTCTCACATTTCGCTTTGCTTGTCGTTTTTTTCCACTTTTCGCATTTGTCACACGTTTCGCACTTTTCTATGTTTCGCGCTTTTCGCACTTTCCGCACTTTCTGCGCTCGTCTATTTTTCGCACTGTTCGCACTCTTCGCAAGTGTTCTACTTTTCGCACTGATCGCACTTTTCGCACTCTTCTACTTTTCGGGGCGTTCTCCGCTCATGAAGACCTGGACCTAGCCAGCACATGGGCCCCCCCCCCCGCCGCCCGCCGCGTGCCCCGTGCCCGCGGCGCTCCGCATCCCGCAGGCGGCTGTCCTGCTGCTGCGCGAGATGAAGGCACGTTGCCAGCCTCGAACTTATCCCTACCACAAGGCTTGGCATCGCTCGGACGTGTGCGTGTTTCCTTCGGCGAGGACCATCGAGGAGCATCCTTGATCATTTGGCGAACAAGCCACGCACGAAACCGAAAAAAACAGAGGGAATGGACGTCCGAGCGATGGCCAGAAGATTGACACGCCAAGAGGTGATGGCAATCAGAGGGATTCGCCCTCAAAAGATAAGGGAATCCCTAAGAGTGGCACCGTGACAAGGACATGCCCAGCATTGGGATAGGGATATGTTCCAGGCTGGTAAGCACGCCCCGCCGCTGCCGCTGCCCTGGCCCGCTGCCACCGAGGAGGCCTGAGGCACCCACGCCGCTGCCTGCGCTCGCCCCGCTGTCGCCTGTCGGGGCCTCCCTGGGAGGCCCGCGTCGCCACGCCCGGCTTCGCCTCGAGAGTCCGGGTCCTTGGCATCGCTCGGACGTGTGCATTTTTTCTCGGCGAGGGCCATCGAGGACCATCCTGGACCATCGAGCCAAAAAAACGCGCACGAAACCGAAAAATGCGCGGGAAATGGACGTCCGAGCGACGGAAAGGGTCAGAACGCACCCCAGGACAGCACAGCCAGTGCAGTCAAGCCATACGCCGGAGCGCGTGGGCGAAGAGAGACGAGGCCGGCCTGTTTTCTCGGCTTCGCGGGAGCAGCGGCACGCCCGCCGAGGAGGTCGGGAAAACAAGCAGCATAGGTACTCTCTGGGCTTCCCTGAGACCTCCAGCGTCGTGGCCAGTCGCGCGTGTTTTTTTTTCCCCCGAGTTCCCGTTGCCGGGAGCCGCTTCTCCGGCCCCGAGGAGCCGAGGTTGCTGTGCCACCAAGGAGCGCGGCCCACAGCGGGAAGGCGGTCCTTCGGCAGGGGGAAAAAACACACAGGCACAAGTTGTCGTCGATCCCCCGGAAAAGTTGGAGAAAATGTGGGAAGTGGGTGGGGGGGGGAAAGACGGCAACCCAGAAACTATCGGAAAAGAGAGGGAGTCCTGGGACTTGTGTCTCCGTATTCGCTTGTGGGCCTCTCGGCCCCCTTCATGGTAGTGCCACCAAAGGAGCGCCCACCGCGGGAAGGCGGCCCTGGGGATGAGGTCGAGATGCCCTGGGCGCCTGCGCTGCAGGCGCCACGGCGGCGCAGGTCTGGAGTTCAGTCGGGCCTGTCCCCCTACAGGGGGAATCTTCAAAAATGGTCCACGAATCGTCCGGGGACTTCTTTTTTCAGTATGTTTGGGCATCTTTTGGGAGCATTTTTGGGCGTCCTTTTTTATTTGTCGTCGAAGCTCCCCCTGTAATGGAGGATGACGATTAATAAATGACCGGGGGTTGTGTTCACGCGGCGGCGCCCGGGATGACGATTAGAAAAAACCGGCCGCGGGCTGGAAAACTATGTTTTTTTTGTTTGATCGTTCTCCTCCGGTCAGAAGACTATGCAGAAATAACAGAAAACTATTCGTTAAATCGTTCCCTCCCATTTTTTGTTTTATTCATCGTCATCCCGCAGCAGGGGGGACGCGCCCGACGCAAGCCCGGAGGGGAGCGCGCTGCTCCGGTGCAGCCGGGGGCGCTCCCGGGAGGGCCCTCGGCGGCGGCGGGCTCCGGGGGCCGACCCGCCGCACACCTCGGGGGAGATCGGCGCGGAGGCCCCGCGGGAGCCAGTCGGAGGGCGAGCGGCAGGCCCGTCGGCTCAGTTGGCACCTGTGGGGGGCGCGGGAACTTAAGTCCTTGGGCAGCGGGGCCTCCGCTGCTTGAGGCCGGCGGCCAAGTGGGGGTGGTGCGGGTGGCCGTGTCTCGGGGTGGCATTTCGAGGCACCTCGCAACGGCGGCGCGGATAACGCCGGGGGCGGTCCGTGCCGCCGTTCGTGTTGCGAGGTCCGACTGCATGTGAATTCATGCAGGCACCTTGGGCACCTCCCTTCGGGTTGTGTCGCCCAGGTGTTCTGTCCGGGCACAAAAAAAAGGCCCGTCGGCTCAGGGTCTCCTATAGGATTAAGCCAGGCCTGCCCTTCTGCAGGAGGAGTATATTCAAAACTAGTCGAAAGATAGTCTGGGGACTACGTTTTGTTTTTTTTTTTTCATCATTTGAGAACACGGTTTGAGTATTTTCGGTTCTTCGTCGGGAATCCCCCTGTAGGGGGACACGCCCGACTTGGTCCTAGGATGCAGGTTTGGCCAACGGCAAAATGTCAGCTCCGAGGAGGAAAAAGGTACCCATTGTTCATCTCTCCTTCTCCGAAGGTTCTTTGATTCTTGGGGGTGCCAAGGTCTTTTCATGTCTAATTGTTCTATCCGGGGCCTCTTCCTGGCCACTAGGACAACTGGCAACTAGAAACAATTAGAAATGAGCACGATCAGAAATGAGCGACGTGTACCCATACCGCTGCCCTTCCCTCGTTTTCCCCCGTTTGGCCCTCCTGGGAGGCCCTCGTCGCCACCGCGGCATTCTCCTCGAAAGCCTGGTCAGACCGCGCCCAGGAGAGGTCTGGGGAGTAGCGGTACCGGTACCCTTGGGTTTCCCCCAGTCAGCGGGGGCCAGCGCCAGCGTAGTGGGCGAGAGAGGGCAGGGGGCCACTTCAGAGGCCTCGCGAGGGAGCTCTCCAGGACGGGAGGCCGGGCTTCTCACGAGTGCCGAACGCGAGGCCACTCAAATGAAGTCCTCTCCTTGGCCTCGCTGGGGGGTGTATATTTTTTTGGGCGGGGAGGGTCGAGGAGCTTCTTGGATCATCTTGCGGGGAAAAAAAAGCGCACGAAGCCGAAGCCTGGCACGGGGAATGGGCGTCCGAGCGATGGCGAGCCTCGAAAGCCCCGACCGATTCGGCTTGAGAAGGCCATGTGGAGAGTACCCCGCCTTTGTGCGACGCAGCGCCGTTCCGGGGGGAGGGGTGCGCAGCGGTTTGCGTTCGCGTACGGGCGCCGGTGGATCCTGCATGGGACCAGCGGCACTCGTGCACGTATGTGCGCGTGTGCATGCGTGCCAGCGTTGGCACGAGAACGTCTGCACACTTCTGATGAGAAGAACGACTGCACACACGCACGTACACGCGCTGGCGTGCGCTTGCGAAGTGCAGTTGCGGATCCTCGAAGAGGCACGTCCAAGGCCATGCAGAAGAGCGTGTAGGAGGTGACCGACGAGTCTTGACCGACGTGGGGTGCCTCTGCAGGTCTCCAGGTGCCCACGGGGGGTCAGAGCGTCCAAAGCCCTCGAGCCTCATCTTCCCCTCTTCCTTTTAGGGGGAAGGCCTGTAAGTCCTACGACATCACCGTATACTTCTACCTGGACGCGCGTGTACATGTTTGTATTTGTGTGTTTGTGTTTGTGTGTGCCTGTGTGCTGTGTGTATGTTATGTGTGTTGTTTATGTTGTGTGCGTTTGTGTGTGTGTGTTGTGTGCGTGCGTGTGTGTGGTGTGTATGTCTGTGTGCTTGTGTGTGTTTGTGTGTGTATTGTGTGTGTTGTGTGTTGTGTGTGTGTGTGTGTGTTGTGTGCGTGTGCGTGTTGGTTGTGGCTTGTGTGGTCTGTGTGTGTTTGTGTTGTGTGTGCCTCTCTCTCTATACCTTGTGTCTTACCTTGCCCTCGTGTCTGCATCTCGCCTCCTCCCCGCCCGGTCCGTCCGCGGGCCCCGGCCAGTCCAGACCCTCCCGACGAAGCAGCAGAGGGCCTCTCGTCATCGAGGACAGGGAAGCCCCCGATCCTGGTGGCAGAGAAAGACGTGGCCTCACTGAGGGCCCCGCCCCTGCTTCGGGGATATAACATAGAAGACTTGGGCGGGTTTGGTTCGACACCTCTGCAGAGCAGGCCCCCATCTCCCTAGTGTGTTCGGCCTCTCCTAACTTGGGTCGCCTCCCAAAGGGTCGGGGGTCCTCTTTATGCCCAGTCATCTCAGAAGGCTGGAGGGCTCCTAAGAAGCCCCGCCGCCAATGTGCCGCGGACCCGTGCTGCCCTGTGCCGAATGGCACGTGTGCGCCAAGATGACAACGTGTAAGCGGGCCGATGTGCATGTCCACGTCGTGGACACTCTGTCTCACGTCAGACCGAATGTGTGTGTATGTGTATGCATGCGAGCTTTTGCGCATGCATGTGCAGGTGATCGTACGCGGATTTCTGCGCATGTTTGTTCGCATATGGCATTGGACGCATGCGCTCATGCGAGGACGGATGAGGAGAAGGAAGAAAACGATATGAATATGACGGAGAGGAGGTGGGAGGAGGATAATGATACGGAGAAGAATCATGAGAAGGAGGAGAAGCCTGCAGAACTCCAGCAGATCCTTTCAAAAAGACCGTACGACACTCGGAAGCCATTCTCATTTCCTTCACTCTTCCACATCCCTCTCCTCTATATTCTCCATCTCCCCTGCTCACCCCTCCACCTCCTGCACCTCCCCCCGTCCTCAGAAAGCCACCCTGGACCTCCCCAGGGGTGCGTTTTGATTCGAATTTCAGGGATCGGGCAGGATCCAGCAGTGGTGACGAGAGTCCCTCCAGAGGTCCCAAACAATTGCGAATGACGCCCAGAAGCCTCGAAGCCCGATCCTCGATCCTCGATCCTGGCTCTCTCCACATCTTCCTCGGGGAGACAGGATTCGGTGTCGCTGCGACCCCAAATTCACTTGACATCGGTCCCCCGATCCATCCCCCGGCCAATCCTTTCCAGTTTTCAGTCCTGGATCTAAAATTTGATCGTCCTGAAACGGGCCACCTGGAGGCCGAAAGTTGCGAAAGGCAGCATAATAGAGTCGAGCATCCAACCTACACACGCACTCACTCACAAGCCACACATCGTCCGGCGCGTGGGCAAGAAACGAAGCTCAAACAGCCGAATGGGTGACGCTCTCCGCCGGCTGAACAGAGCAGGGGGGGGGAGGAGTATGGGGAGGAAGGGGAGGAGGAGGAGGAGGAGGAGGAGGAGGAGGAGGAGGAGGAGTTGTAGGAGGAAGAGCAGGAGGAGAAGGAGGAGGTGGCAGAAGACGAGACTCGGTAAATCTTACTCGGGAGCCCAATTGCTTTTAGAGGAGGAAGAGGAGGAGGAAGAGGACAAGGAGGAGGAGGAATTTGAAGAAACAGAAGAAGAATAAGACAAAGAAAAAGAAGAGGAAGAGACGTAGCAACTCTTCTTCGGGACCTCCACGAATCTTGGGATCAAGCACGGTTGCCTGGAGTCCTCTCCCCTGTTTTCCCCGAGGTGTGTGGGGGGGGCGGGGCGCCGCGGGCAGGCTGCGCAGCTGGTGCCGAACGTCATCGCCTGCAACGCCGCCATCTCGGCCTGCGAGAAGGCGCCCCCCGCGGCCCCGCCCCCGCGCCCCAATCGGCGAGACGGCACTCGACCAACGGGAGGATGAGGAGGAGGAGGAGGAGGAGGAGGAGGAGGAGGAGGAGGAGGAGGGGGAGGAGGAGGAGGAGGAGGAGGAGGAGGGGGAGGAGGAGGAGGAGGAGGAGGAGGGGGAGGGGGAGGAGAGGAGGAGGAGGAGGAGGAGGAGGAGGAGGAGGAGGAGGAGGAGGCAGTTTGATGGGTGCTCTCCCAGAGAGAACGGGCCGAGGGGAGGGAAGGGCTCCGATTCCCCCGCCCTCGCCTCGTTGTCGCCTTCGGGAGCTTCCTGGTGTATGCCCCCGTCGCCGCCGCCGAATTCGCCTCGAAATCCTGGTCAGAATGTGCCCTGGGATAGGTCGGGGGAGCAGCAGTGTGGGTACTTCTGGGCTTCCCCAAGACCTCCAGCGTGGCGTCTGGCCCAGGTATCAGGGGAGGAGGAGGTACTCACACCGCTGCCCTCGCCTCGTTGTCGCCTCGTGGGGCCTGCTGGGGGGGCCCTCGACGCCACGCTCGGAGTCGCCCCGAGATTCTGGTCAGAACGTGCCCCAGGAGAGGTCGGGGGAGTAGCCCTGGGCTCGCCGCCAAGGGAGGACAGGGAGGACGGAGGACAGGGAGGACAGGGAGGACAGGGAGGACAGGGAGGACAGAGGAGGAGGAGGAGGAGGAGGAGGAGGAGGAGGAGGAGGAGGAGGAGGAGGAGAGAGGAGGAGGAGGAGGAGGAGGAGGAGGAGGAGGGAGGAGGAGGAGGAGGAGGAGAGAGGAGGAGGAGGAGGAGGAGGACGAGGACGGGGGAGGCGGAAGGAGGAGGAGGAGGAGGAGGAGGAGGAGGAGGAGGAGGAGGAGGAGGCGGAGGAGGAGGAGGAGGCGGAGGACGGAGGAGGAGGGGAGAGGAGGAGGAGGAGGAGGAGGAGGAGGAGGAGGAGGGAGGAGGAGGAGGAGGAGGAGAGGAGGAGGAGGAGGGGGAGGCGGAGGAGGGGGAGGAGGAGGAAGAGGAGGAGGAGGAGGAGGAGGAGGAGAAGGAGGGGGAGGGGGACCCCCCCCCGCCCTCAGGGCAAGCAGTGGCTCCGCGCCATCCGCCTCCTCGCCGAGGCGCGGCGCCGGGGGGCGCCCGGGGCCGCGCGGACGAGCTCGGCGCTGGCTGGCCCGACGAGGCGTTCAAGGCATCGTAGAGTCACGACTCTACAAGTACACGCTGGTCGTTGGAAGTTGGTATGTTTGGATTCCCAGGTCTCCAATCTACTTTAGCCGCCCTTCTACTTCGAGGGTCGAGTGGCTTTCCCTCTACCTCTCCCCTCCTCTTCAGGGGGCAGGCGGAAGCCCAACTTGTTTCCAACGCTTGGCCACTTTATGCATCGACCCACTTCTTCCGACTGACTGGTAGCTGTGTTGATATGGATTGTTTCGCTGATCGGCGCGGGCCCCTGCCCCCTCCCTCCCCCACCCACTCCATGCACCAGATCATGGCTGCTCTTAGCGGCTGCTGGTGTCTAGGCCTCCCAGATGGGGTCCGAGCAGATGGGGTCGGAGGAGCGCACCGCATCGCCGATGCATCGGCGATGCGGCTCGATGTAGAGTCCGATTCTCTCTGCGCCAGCGTCGCCGATGCACCACCGACGTCGCCGAGGCATCGCCGGCGCATCACCCGTGCATCGCCGATGCATCACCGATGCGGTGCAATCCTCCGACCCCATCTACTCGGACCCCATCTAGGGGGGCCTCTAGGTTTGCGACGCGTCAGGGCCCCTCTTCCCCAAGCTGCTTGCGCGACTGGGAGAAGCCGATCGACTAAGCACGGGCCCAGACCAAGACCCCCCCCCCTTCCCCACCCTTGGTTCTTTGATTTACTCTCGAGCTCCAGAGTGAGCTCAGAGCTGTGCCAGTGCGTGAGGGCGGGTACGACAAGCAGCTTCGCTCTCCCACTCGAAGAGGCCTGAGCTCGGTCTCCTACTCGAGCTATGACCGAACGACTCATCTCATTCTACACTTGTTCTGCTGCTTCGCGCGGCTGTTTCTGCTAAATCCCGCGACTTCGGGCAGCTACAGGGCCCGTCATCGCGCTATTCGAGCCAAATGCCGAAACCCAGAAGAAAACAGCTTACCAGCATGGGCTTGCACTGCCCTGGAGAACTAGTGCAACTTGAATCGTCGACTTCTTTGCTTTCGTCGCCGTCAGCTTCTCGTCGGGTTGGGCATCTGGCCGTGCGCGGGCCCCGGGGGCTGTCAGGAACGGACCTCGGTGGATACCCTCAGGGCAGTCTCCCGGACGATTCTTCGGCACGCCCTACAAAACGTACATTTCTCGTTCCAGGGGGGAGTGCAACCGTGATCGGTCTTTAATTCTGGGTCACCCCCCCCTGTTTCTCTCGGCGGTGGGTAAGCTCCGCCCCTCCCCCTCCTCCTCCTCCTCCTCCTCCTCCTCCTCCTCCTCCTCCTCCTCCTCCTCGTAGTCGTAGTTATCGTCGTCGTCGTCGTTGTTGCGCGGCTGGTGCCGCGGGTTAATCATTATGTTCCGCTATTGGTGGGGCTCCAGTCCGTCAGTAAGGTCGCCGAACAAAATAGTAAGTTGCACTGTTGGGGGGGGTTCTACAGACCCATCTCGCTTAGGTCCTTCCATGGTTGCTCCTCCTAGCGCCCCTCCTGCACGGGCGCTTCTGAGGGCCCAGAAAGGCGGCGAGTTGGCCACGGTCTCTAGGCGGATGCAGCCGTGGCCACGAGGGAACCCCAGACGGCCCAGCAGGGCCCCGTCAGCATTCCCAGACCCCCTCGGGTCACAAACAGAATCACGGCGGGCGGCTTCCCGCGATCCTCGGCCTCCGGGGGCCCTCGCGGGGCCTCGGGGCCGTCAGAGAACGACTCGGGATGAAAAATCGGTCCGGGGGAGCGGGTCGAGACGTCGTTGTCGTTGTCGTCGTGGTGAAAAAGTCGTCGTCGTGAAAAAGTCGTTGCGGGTCGAGGCCTCGGGAGGGTCGTCGTTGCGAAGAGGTCGTGGCGCCCGGGGGGTCTGGGGGTCCAGCGCCTCGGTCCTCGATCGGCCGTCGTAAGGCCGCCCTTGCGTCCGTGCCTCGCGGCCCGCCCCAGCCCCTCGCGATGGGCAATGGTCGGGCCGGACGAAAGTCTGCACGAACGAGATGGGCACGGAAAGAATGGGTACAATGCCCAACAGCGGATCTTGTTCGTTCTGAACAGGACTCGCTGTCCACGCCGCCGCGGCCTGTGCCCATTCGAGACAGAAGGCCGCCTGCCCAACAGCGACCGCTGTTGGTTCGGGATAACATTTGTTGTTGGGCATTGTACCCATTCTTTCCGTACCCATTTCGGGCGTCCAAAGAAAAGGGGAATTGGGAAAGGGGGGGTACGAAATCTGCTGCGTGCAGCTAGTTTCGGCCCCACCGAGGGGCCCGTTCCTCGGTACATGGCCGCCTCCGGCGCCGGGAGGCGCCGGGAAAATCAGCTACGTGAGCTGATTCTCACCCCCCCCTTGCTATCACCCCCTTTCGCCCAGCCCGAAATGAGCTTCCAACTTCAGCTTCACTCTGGACATCCGAAGGCCGTGCATCTTTGCCGCGCGTCCTGGGACACACGTCAAGAAGCCGCACGTCTGCTTTCCGTCACGGTATCTTGGGTTTCTTCCCTGCGCGCGCTGCGCGATGACTTCTTGCGGGCGTTAAGAAGCTGCTGCGGTCAGGGTGATCTGGGTGTCCCCACAATCACACCTCGCGCGAGGATTTGAAAGGTTGGGCCGCGTCCGCACTGCATGCACATAAACTTCCGACGGTCCGCGCAGATTTCTTCGATCGGTGTTGGACCCACTGGCCTCCTGGCGGCCCCTCTGGCGCCGCCCCCGAGCGCCAGGGAGGAGTCCGCGCGCTCGAAGCGCGCCTAGCGCTACAGGCTCCGCAAACAGGGTCCATCGCCGATCACAGCAATCCCTGCGGGCCTACGAAAGTTCCTGTTAATGTTGTTTTGTTGTTCCCGAGACCATGTCAGCTAGATGCTCATTCTGCTCGTAGCAGCGCTCCATTTCGGACGGACCAGGGGACCCTCAAAAGCGCCATCGACGGTTTCACGACGCGTATGGGCAGCAAGAAACCTCGGCGACGCGCAGAGGGGGGCAGGAAGAGGGAGGGAGGCTTCTTAGGAATACCCCTGCTTCTGGGAAGGCGCTGGCCTTATCGAAGACGCCTACGGCGAATCACCGCCGCCCCCCTGCCTTGTTGGAAGCGCCTACGTGGCCGAACGTTGAGGCCAGACCTTCCAAGCTATCGGAGCATGTGTTCCCCGAACCGGTTTGGAAAGCCTTCGGGGAACACGTGGGCATATTGAAAGTCATCTTGGCCGTCTAGAGGCCATTTTGACACTTTCAGGCCTTCTTGGAGGACGTCTTTCTTGGAGGCCATCTTGAGCGTCTTGGAGGCCTCTTGGGCCGTCTTGGGGCCGTCTTGGGTGATCTTTGGGGGCACTTGGGCCGTCTCGGGCCGTCGGAAGGCCGAAAACATGCAAATGTCACAATCCTTCAAAAACTCTTGGGAAATCAATGCTTGTTGCCTTTTCTGGCCTTCCTGGAGGCCCTCTTGGAGGCCTCTTGGGCCGTCTTGGGCCATCTTAAGGCCATCTTTGGCCGTCTTGGTGGGCGCCTGGCCAGTCTGACGCCGTCGGAAGCCGTTTGGGGGGTCTCTCTGGGCCGACTTGGGGCCCTCTTGGAATGCTCCAGGGCAGTCTTGGAGGCCATCTTGGGCGTCTTAAAGGCCTCCTGGGCCGTCTTGGGGGCCCCTTGGGGCCGTCTTGGGGGCCTCTTGGGCGGTTCTGGTGTCATCTTGGAGGCCTCGTGGGCGATCTTTGGACGATCTTTGGAGGCTCTTGGGCCGTTTCGGGCCGTCGGAAGGCCGAAAAGAAGCAACTGTCAAACTCTGTCAAAAGCTTAGGGGACATACGTGTTTGTTTGCCTTTTCGGGCCGTCCTGGTGCCCTCTTGGAGGTCTCTTGGGCCGTCTTGGGCCAGCTTCGAGCCAACTTCGGTCGTCTTGGTGGGCCCCTGGCCCGTCCGACGCCGTCGGAAGCAGTCTGTGGGGCCTCTCTGAGCTGACTTAGACTTGGGGTCCTCTTGGAATGCTCCAGGGCAGTCTTGGAGGCCATCTTGGGCGTCTTAAAGGCCTCCTGGGCCGTCTTGGGTGCCTCTTGGGGCCGTCTTGGGGGCCTCTTGGGCGGTTCTGGGGTCATCTTGGAGGCCGCTTTGGCGATCTTTGGGCGATCTTTGGGGGCTCTTGGGCCGTCTCGGGCCGTCGGGAGGCTGAAAAAAAACAATTGCTAACATCCTTCAAAAACTTAGGGAACATGCGTGTGTTTGGCATTTTTTCTGGCCTTCCTGGAGGCCCTCTTGGAGGCTTCTTGGGCCGTCTTGGGCCAGCTTCGAGCAAATTTCGGCCATCTTGGTGTGCGCCTGGCACGTCTGACGCCGTCGGAAGCCGTTTGTGTTGCCTTTCTGGGCCGACTTGGAGCCCTGGGTGCTCCATGGCCGCCTTAGAGGCCATCTTGGGCATCTTGGAGGCCTCTTGGGTCGTCTTTCGGGCCCTCTGGGGGCCGTCTTGGGTGCCTCTTGGGCCGTCATGGGGCCATTTTGGAGGCCTCGTGGACGATCTTGGGGCGATCTTGGGGGCCTCTTGGGCCGTCTTGAGCCGTCGGGAGGCCGAGAAGACGCAAATGCCCAAATCCTTCAAACACCTTAGGATAATCAATGATTTTGGCCTCTTCGGGCCCTCCTAGAAGACCCCTTGGAGGCCTCTTGGGCCGTCTTGGAGGCCTCCTGGGAGCCTCTTAGGCTGCCTTGGGCCATCTTGAGGCTATCTTAAGCCGTCTTGGGTGCATCTTGGGCCGTCTTGGAGGCATCTTGAGGCCATCTTAGCCGCCTTGGAGGCCATCTTGGCCGTTTTGGAGGCATCTTGGAGGCCATCTTGGGCCATCTTGAGCGAAAAAGCCGACGAGGCATGCAGCCGGCGGGATGCGCCGAAGCCCCAGGGGGAGTCCTTTTGGAAAAAGAGCCAAAGACAAAACCGAAATAATCTAGCACGCCAGGCACCCCTGCGATGAATCGAC